CCACTCAAAAAAAAAAAAACCAAAAATCATCATAATACCACAAAATGGTTATTCTGAACTGACACATTCAGTGCGTGGAACAGGGAAACTCCTGCTCCCATTGCTCACCTCGGTGGGAACACGCCCCACATCCTACACGGAGCACAGTCTGATGGAGGGTCAGCCTCAAAATCCATCCAGCAACACGTGGCAACCCCTAAATAAACAGGGATCACCCTCAGGAAAAAGTGCACTTCCCTGTGTATCTCTCTCCACAACACCCAGTGGACGATCCGACCTCACAGCTTTGGGTTCCCGATTTGAGGGGACCCAATTTGAGTTCAGTCCCGATTTGAGGCATCCTGTGACACCCCTCCATCAAACACCACAAACACCAGCCGAAGGCCAAACTTCTCCCACAGGATGAGATCCTCCAGAAGGCAAGTGGTGGCTCCTCACCTATTTAGCAGCAGTTTTGGGCCACCACTGGGGTGTGTTTGCGCTGAGCTTCACTTTATCCCCTCCCACATCGATGCAGAGCGGCTCGTGTATGTGAGCCAACCTCAGCAGAGCTATCCCGAGGTCACCTCCTCCCGCCCGGAACTTCCCGGCCGGCTTTCCCGACTCGGTGAGGATCTCGGCACCCTCGGGAATGCCGTCTTTGGGAAGCGGAGCTGAGAAGGAGACGGGGAGCAGGCGCTTGCGGATGACGCCCATGTGGTGTGTCCTGGCCGTCAGCTCCTGCCCGATGTAACAGCCCTTGGTGAAGCTGATGCCGTTCATGTAGGCCAGGTTGGACTCCAGAGGGAGGGCGACTCCAGGAGGGAGATCCTTCACACCTTCAGGAATTCCTGGGAAAAGAGTAAAGCCGAGAGGTAAATACTCCTCCATAAGGCTTGTGCCCCAAGTGCCTTAAATTGTTTGAGTCATTAGCAACTTATTTTCCAAAACCAGATGGACGCTGATTTAAGCACAGAACCATCACCTTTCACTCTGCCAATTAATTTAATCCACCATCAGCCTGGACACCATAAAATCAAAGGCACTGGGACTCCCAGCAGTGGGAGCCCTCTCAAATCAAACATCCTTCCCTCGGCCTCTGAGTTAACTCAGCAAAGACACCCACAAATTTTTAGGAAGGTAAGTCTGGGTGTTCCCTTTTCCTTCCTTAGCAACGAGCAAAACACACGGCCTGCGTGTAACCCCAAAATAACCAAAATTGCTCAAACCACAGAAGCTTCTAAGAAAATGACTAATCCTGGTTCTCTTTCAGCATTCCTGACCAATCCCCATCATCTGAGTAACAGAAAACCCAAATATTACTTCTGCCACCAGAGGGAATTCTAAGCACCAGAGAACTTTTTTACTCAAAGCAGCAACTAATACCTTTACTTATTAACAAATTAAACACATTATTTATTCCTGTCTTATCTCAGCACATGGACTCCCAAAATCCAGTGCCACAGAGTGCAAAACAGGACTTGGCTTTACCTTGCTTATACCTGTGCCTGTGGTAATCCTGAACGTCTCCGACTTCACTCCCAGGGATAATCTCCGACAGATTTGCTCCTTTCTTTGTGATCAGTCTCCAGCCCATGACTTCTGCCCTGGGGTCAGGAGTCAAGAGCACAGCCTGGCCTGCACATTTCGGGAGGGAGCTGGAGGCGTCTCCAGCCTGTTCCCCAGGGATGACAGCCCACAGGGAGAGGTCAGGGCAGGGGGAGATGTCGACTTTCCTGCGGATCTTGTACAGTTTCAGGTGTTTCTGGAAGGGCTCCAGGACGTTGCTGTCGCACTCCAGCAGGATGTGAGGCTCCTCTCCCGCGCTCCCGTGGAGCCTAAAGAAAGTAACACCTGCAAGGTCAGGAAAACAAACCCCCACAGCAGCGGGAGCCAAAACGCTTTGTCTGGATCCTGGTGCGAATCCAGAAGTCTGGGCAGTGTCATGGAAGGCTGCTGGCACGCATGGAGCAGGAAATACCTGATGTTTTCCAGCCTTCGGTTGTACTCTTTCCCAGCAAACACTGCCCTCAGCTCTCCCAGGGACAGGAACAGGGTGTGAGGAATCCTCCACCCCTTCCCTAAAGTGAGGGGAATTTCAGCAGGGGGAGAAGCCACGTTCAGCTGTGCCTTCCACTGGCACAGAATCCCAGAACGGTTTGGGTTGGAAGGGGCAATAAAGATGATCCAGTTCCACTTCCCATCATTACTTTTGGCTGCATTGACTGGAGAATGTTTCCAAGTATCGTTGAATCCTAGAATGGTTTGGGTTGGAAGGGGCCTGAATGATTATCCAGTCCCACCCCCCTGCCATGGGCAGGGACACCTTCAATCCTTCAGGTTGCTCAGAGCCCCAGCCCGACCTGACCTGGAATGTTTCCAGGGACGGGAAATCCCTGTTAAAATCCTGCTGTTAA